CAGAGGATGCTATGGATCTGAAGAGGGAGTGGGTTTAGTGGTTAGAGCAAGAGACTGGGAAGCAGGAGTCCTGGGTTCTATTACTATTGGGCTCCTTGGAAATTCTATTCTATTTGGGCTCCTTGGAAACAAAGTGCTAAGGCACGGTTATGTCTGGAGAAGGATGCACTGGGCTGGAAGGAAATCCATACGCAGACATGGTACAATATATAAATTACGGGCCAGAACCCCCACTGGTGGAAGTCGATTGAAGCCAACGGAGCTCTGATGAGCTACAGCAGCTGCAGATTTGGCCCAGTCTTTCCTCCAGGGTGTCTCTGGTAGATATCCCATGACCTTCTCTCCCTGCCCCAAGGCTGGATAGTGGCGTTACCATGCCCAGACCCGCTTTGCCTGTAGCACGTGTTCAGGTAACTCCTGCGGATGTGCCAGGAAACTACACACACGGGGGCCGATAATATTTTTTCCAGAGCCAGGCTCTAATCCTGCCTTTTGCAAGGTGACTGGGCTCTGGGGCGTGGTGCTGGCAGAGCATCTGCGGCCCAGCTGAGTGGGGCAGGGGGCTCCCAGTGAGGAGGGGGGGAGAAGGGGATCGGGTTTCGCGGCTGCCTTTTCCTTTCATTTGGGTCTAGGCCTGTGTGTCTGACAAACCTTCTAGCGTCAGGATTTACACTCCCCTCTCGTACTGGGAGCGGGCGGATTCTCAGCCAAGACGGGGAAGTGGAAAGCTTTCCAGGGCTGCAAGGAAATGGGATATTCTGTGTGTTTAGCCTTGAAACCCAAGCCAGCCATGGAGCCTCCCACCCCTTCCCCAGCCCACGCTGAGCCTCGCCGAGGCCCTGGTCCTTTAATATTTCACCCTTTGTGAAATGTGTGTGAATATCATAAGCACTTGAAAGCTGGGGCTTGGCTGCTCATTCGAGCTGGGAAAAGAGCAGCCAGACGCTGTGCAACTTTCCCCCTGTGCAGCTTTGCAGATTCATCTTGCTCCTGAAGTGCAGAACCTCCTGCTATGTCCATCCTCTGCCTCATCAGCTTTGCCAGGCACCGCAAACTGACTAAATCTATAGTCTCCTCCCCTACTATTCCAGCCCTGGGCTCCCCCTCCACAGCTGTGCCAACGTACTCCAGTCCCGCTCTGCAGACCCTCCTGCTATTCCTGTGCTGGACCCACCCCCCCCCCCACCCACAGCTCTGCCAATACCCCTCAGTCCTGACCCACTGCTCTCCTGCTATTCCAGCCCTGAGCAGTGGCTGCCAATCAAACTCCAGGGGGTGGTAATTTGTGTGATATGAACAAATACATGTCTGCAGTGTCACAGATGAAGGCTGCAAAGCTTATCTCCGTTATTATCCACAGCCTGCTGCTAGCCCAAACCTCCAGAAGCAAAAGCTCACCCAGTCTGCCCCTCCCACCCCAAGTTCTCCAAAGCGTCGTTTGCGGGCAGCACTGTCCCCACACACAGCTCCGGCCAATTATCATCTGGTTTCCGGGGGGGGGGGGGGGGTGTTGATCATGGGGGGGCGGTTGCATGGAAACAGGCTCTTCTGTGCTTAGAGTAGAACAGCTGCTGCTGATTCCCCAGCTCAGATCACACCCCTTGGTCAGTGCCCCCCCCCCCCCGAAGAGCCCATTCGTGGAAGGGTTACAGAGAGTCCAAGACTCCAGACGGGGACTAGAACTGCTGCAGATCCAGGCTGGAGCATGAACGCTGCTGTTGTCCCTAGGAATACCGGGGGGGGGCGCAGGGGAGAGAATGGCCATAGTAACAGAGGGGATGGTCAGAGCAGAGCTGATACCTGGTGTCCCTTCATCAGATGACTCTCTGTCTCTCACCAGGAGGCATCAGTGCATCTTTTGGCCCAGTAGCCCTCTTCTCACGCTTGCCTTGCAGCTGTCCCACAAACAAGGGACTAGAACAGACCCTGGTAAGCGGCCACTCCCCCTTCTCCCACAGATCACTCCATGTCTGCCTGCCATGGGCACTCAGCAGCTCTGCTAAGAGCAGGCGTCTCCCTCCCGCCACGCACGCCCGTGAAACCGTTCCGCAGAGCCAGGGGTCAACGGCACGCAACATTTCAGGGCACTGCTGTATTTACTGCGCGGATGTCACCTCGGACAGCCCATGTTCGGTGCTCCCGGTGCCTCCCTTCTGCCTGGAGACCCTCCCCCCCCCCAGAGATCTGCCCTTCCACTGCTCCGATCATCACAGCTGCAAATACGAAAGTTGATCCATTTCCAGCGGCCTCTCGCTAGGGTGCGAGGCGGAATACCGGGGGTGGGGGGCAGGGGAGAGAATGGCCATAGTAACAGAGGGGATGGTCAGAGCAGAGCTGATACCTGGTGTCCCTTCATCAGATGACTCTCTGTCTCTCACCAGGAGGCATCAGTGCATCTTTTGGCCCAGTAGCCCTCTTCTCACGCTTGCCTTGCAGCTGTCCCACAAACAAGGGACTAGAACAGACCCTGGTAAGCGGCCACTCCCCCTTCTCCCACAGATCACTCCATGTCTGCCTGCCATGGGCACTCAGCAGCTCTGCTAAGAGCAGGCGTCTCCCTCCCGCCACGCACGCCCGTGAAACCGTTCCGCAGAGCCAGGGGTCAACGGCACGCAACATTTCAGGGCACTGCTGTATTTACTGCGCGGATGTCACCTCGGACAGCCCATGTTCGGTGCTCCCGGTGCCTCCCTTCTGCCTGGAGACCCCCCCCCCCCCCCAGAGATCTGCCCTTCCACCGCTCCGATCATCACAGCTGTAAATACGAAAGTTGATCCATTTCCAGCGGCCTCTCGCTAGGGTGCGAGGCACAATCTGTCATCCATTTTCCTCGTGAGTGTCACATTCCAGCTCCCCCCCCCAGCGCCCTGACACAGATGCACACTCTGACACACACACACACCAGCCTGGCTTGTGGTCTCTGGCTGATGTCTGACATCTCTCAGCTCTCTCTTCCCCACGTCAGTCATATCATGACATGCACATCACTCCCTCCCCCCCCCCCCACAGCACACACACCAGCCTGGCTTGTGGTCTCTGGCTGATGTCTGACACCTCACACCTATCCCTTCCCCATATCAATGACACAGCTGAGATAATCATGACATGCACACCCTTACACACCCACACCCCCCCAGCCCAGCTTGCGGCCTCCGGCTGATGTCTGTAGCTCACACCTCCCCCTTCCCCTTGTCAGTTCCAGCAGCCAAGACAATCACAAGGATGCCCAGGAAAACGGTGCTTGTCTATCCCCCACATCTCTGTTCCTTGGGGGGGGGGGGTTGCTCTCTCCTCCCTTGCCCCTTCCCCCGCTCCCTGTTCTAGCTCGCAGGGCCTCGCCAAGCCAGGGGATTTCTCTCGGGCTAGGAAAGGCTCGCTTTGCCAAAGCAAGCATTGTTCTCCGGAGACAAAGTGAGTGTGTGTGGGGGGGGGGGGGGGAAGGGGGGCTTTTTAAGGTAGAACCTCAAGGAAACACTGACAAATACCCAGGGGGGAAAAGCCACGTAAAGAGCCCCAGTGTGCCGGCGCCTTGCAGAATAAAGGAAGGAGAAACCCAGGAGAAGAGAGTAGCTCCTCCGGGACGCAGCATTTGCTCTAGGCACTGTTCACTCCTTACCCTCCGCCAGTCCCTTTGATCGCAGCCTAAACGGGACCCAAATGCCCATACCAAGCCCCCCTCCCCAGATAAGAGAGGATGTTCCCCGCAAACTCGCCTTCGCTTTCAACCGCGGGCCCCTGGATTCAAGGGGGGCAGGGGGCCGGGTTTCTGCCCCCTCCCCCGGCCCTATTCATTCATTCCCTCCTGGCACAGCGGATCCGGCTCCGGAGTTGACTCGCCGCCGGTAACGGGTGGGGGGCGCGGGGACGGGACTCACCCAGCATCTGGCTGAAGAGCAGCTGCTCCAGGTCCCCCAGCACCGTCACCACGAGCTCCGGGTCCACCTTCAGGTAGGCTCGCTCCTCCTGCCCCTTCCCCGCCGGGCCGGGCGCCGGCGCCGGCTGCTGCTGCGGCTTCTCCCGGCCCTTGGCTTTGCTGGAGAGGATCTCGTCGTCGGATTTGCTGTCCTCCACCCCGCCGGCCTCGGGCGCCGTGCTCAGGGGCTTCACCTCCGCGTAGGGCCCGCGGGGGATGCGGCTGGGCTTGCCGAGGCTGGACGGGAGTGGGGCCAGCGGCGGCTTGGCCAGGCCGGGGGCGAGCCTGGCTTGGAAGAGGGAGTGCTCCGACTTGGAGAGGCTCTTGGACATGAGCGGGGCTTCCTTGGCTTTCAGCCCCCCGCGCCCGCCCCCCTTGGCCGCCTTGGCCATGTCGTCGCTCCAGCGGGGCTCGTAGAGCTGCATCTTCTTCTCGGCGTCGGTGAGGAAGGCCAGGTTGGTGAGGGACTTCTGCTTGCGCAGGCTGGGGCCGGGCGGCAGCCGGCTCTCCACGCTGCCCGACTTGAAGACCCGCAGCTCGTGCGCCCCGGGCGCTTTGGGCCGCTTGGGCATCATGCCGCCGCCCTTGCCCTCGGCCCCTTTCCGGTAGCCCTTCAGCTCCTCCGGCCCCTCGCCGCTGAGCTCCAGGCTTTTGAGGTTGGTGCCAAGCATCCCGCCTGCGCTGAAACCATTTAACACGCCGGCTGCTGCGAGGGGGAGAGGGGAGCACGGAGCGGGGAGAGAAGAGAGAGAGAGAGGCGGTGAGACCACGGGGCTGCCCAGCCCAGCGCGCTCCGCTGCAGCCCCTCCGCGCTGCGCCGCGCCGCCGGCAGACTGAGACCCGGCGGAAGGTCCGGGCCCGCAAGAAGGGCCCTCCCCCTCCGCCGCCTGCCGGCGATGCTCAGCCAGCCAGGGGAGGGGATGCGGGCAGGGCCGCCTTCTATTTCCAGCGCTCGGGGAGGGGAGGCTGCGCGCCCGGGTGTGCGCAGGGGCTGGCGGGGGATGCGGGCTGGTTCCCTAAAGAGCCCAGGAGGAGCCAGCGCCCCGCCTCGCCCCTCTCCCCGCAAAAGCGAGGCGTGGCTTCAACCCACACACCCCGCCCGACAGCCCGGCGCGGTCCCTGCCCTGGGTCGCCTGCGTTCCCACGGGCAGCCGGAGCGCACGGCCGGCTTGCAAAGGATCTGCTGCACCCAGGGGCGGCCTCGGGAGCCTGGCCCCACGTGCGCCTCTGCCACCCCCTGTCCAGGGCACTGTGCTCCCCAGTAGGATGCGCTCGGAAGGAAGCGAGGGGCCAACCCTGAGCCCCGCTCCGTCGGGCCCCGGGCGTGTCCCGGCTCCCCCAGCGGTTCCAAGGCTTTCGCTCGACGTGTGAGTGGGGGGCGCAGCTGGGGCTCGGGGGTGGCGTGGGCCGGCCACTCCCAGATCCACAGAAGGCAGCCAGGAAAAAGCCTTCTTCCAGACCCCTTCTTGGGGGGCTGCTCGCCCCACCCCTGGGTCTCAAAGGAGCAGGGTCGGGAAACAGGGTTCAAAAGCAGCAGCCTGACTGTGTTCTCTTAAAGCGCTCAGTAGCCCTGTGAGGCAGGGCGCATCATTATCCCCTTACGGGGGGGGGGGGGGAGGGGAACTGAGTCACAAACCTATTCGGTGACTTTCCCCGTGTGGCACCACAGTGTGTCAGAGGCCGGGATGGAGTCCTGACCCCAGTGCCCCTTTACCAGGATGTCCTGGCACACAGGGCTTGAAGCCGGCACCCCCCTAAAGAGCGGGGTTTGGAATTTCTGTGCCCTTGGTGCCGGGGGCTGGGAGCAGAGACGCTGCTGAAGGGGCTGAGGAAAGGGCAGCACCAGGGTGAGGGTGGCAAATAGGCAATGGGGTGGGAAGCGTCTGCTCAGGCTGCCCACACAGAAATGCCCAGGCCCTGTCACTAGGGCTAGCTCAGGACTGTATAAAGAAAAGCCGGACTCAGTGGACAGGAAGGGGATGCCGCATGGGTGCTGAGGGGAAGCAGAGCTGTCCATGGGTGCTCCAGAGAGGCAGAGCTGAGGGGAAGAGGAGACTCCTGCGTGGGCTGAGGAGAAGCCAAGCCACCAAGCAATGATGAGGAGAAGTGGCCACCCGTGGGTGCTGAGAACCGGAGCCACCCGTAGTTGCTGAGGAGAAGCAGAGCCACGCATGGGCAGTGAGGAGAAGCAAAGCCGCCCGTGGGTGTTGAGGAGAAGCAGAGCCACCCATGGGTGATGAGAAGAAGCAGAGCCACCCGTGGGTGCTGAGGAGAAGCAGAGACACCCATGGGTGCTGAGGAGAAGCAGAGATACCTGTGGGCAGTGAGAAGCTGGGACTCCCATGGGTGCTGAGGGGAAGCAGAGCCACCCATGGGTGCTGAGGGGAAGCAGAGCCACCCATGGGTGCTGAGGGGAAGCAGAGCCACCCGTGGGCAGTGAGGAGAAGCAGAGACACCCGTGGGCAGTGAGGAGAAGCAGAGACACCCGTGGGCAGTGAGGAGAAGCAGAGACACCCATGGGTGCCGAGGGGAAGGCAGAGGCCCAGCCCAGGAACACAAAGCAAAGGCCGTGAGGACTGAGGCCCTCTGGAAGTCAGCAGACATCCCAAGAGCAAACGCCTATTGGAGGAAGTTACCTCTCGGCTCTGCTCCTGACTCATTGCGAGTCTGGGTTGTGGCCAGCCAAGCCTGCTCCAAACCCAGCCAAGATAACACGGAGCAGGCCTGTTCATTTCACATGGACAGACAATGACTTGGAGCCTCCCCATGGTCCACCCCACCCTCCAATGTCTGGCCCACTTAGTCACAGCAATGACCCTGCAGAGGCTCTGTACTGAGGTCCCTGCTCCTGTAGGTTTGGGAAAGTTTGGAGGGAATGTCCAACCAGAAGCCTGAGGGGCCCAGAGACCTTCCCTGTGCCCAGGCCCGGTTGCAGCAGGATCATGGAGTGGTTTGTCCTTGCAGCAGTCTAGGATGCCCGGAAAGCAAGGCTACTCTGGCATGTCCACATGGGTGGAGCTGGATGGTGCAAGGTGCTAATCATCCTCTGTTCCCTGGGGGTCAGCGGGAAGGAAGGAGGGGGCCCAGCCCTCAGCACTGGGTTGAACCGAACCCATAGCACACCTTACAGCTGTCCTGCCGGCACAGTCAGTGTCTCCTATCCCACAATGCGGGGACCAGGGGCTCTGGGGCAGTTCCTACATGCCAAGCCCCGCACTGCGGGATGGAGTTCAGGAGACAGGCTGGATCGGCGCAGCGTGCTCATAATTTCCATCTGTTTTTATACAGCGCCTGTCCCTGTGGTATCTGCTCCACTTTATCACCACGGCTCTCCATCCTCAGCACTGCCCAATCTGCCTGACCCTGTAGGTACGCCCCATGAGGGGCAGGCTCATCTCGCCAGGGGCCATGTTTAGTGTCTGCCTGTCACCATCTCTGCACTGGTCCTACCTGCTGCCCTGTCCTCAGGAGTCCCCCAGCAGCTCTCTCCAGGTCTCAGAGTCCTGACCCCACTCTCTGGAAGGTGGGGATTGTTAAACCCATTTTGTGGCATGGGGGAAAGGAGGTGACACAACTTGCTCCAACTTACACAGTTAGAGTAGGTGGAAGAGTCAGAAAGAGAACCCAGGAGTCCTGCCTGCCCAGTCTCCCGCGCTAGCTGCAATACCATGTGTTTGAGAGTGACTCAGCTGGCCTCAGAGCTCCAGACAGCACGTCCAGCTCCCCCGCCCCCACATGGCTACCTGTGGGCACCTGCTCAGGGGACGTGAAAGCAGCGAGCCAGCTGAAGACGGGCACCTCCGATCAGAGCCAAAGCGCATTGAAGTCAATGGAACGACTCCAGCTGGATCAGATCCCTATCACTGCAATGCCACGCTGGGCCCTGAGAGCTGCGGGTGCAGGTGTGGCACCTCTGGGATCGAAGGCAAAATCCTGGCAGCAGGCAGGCCAAAGCAAGGAGCCAGACTCACAAGACTCCAGCAGCCTCTGACACCCCTGTGGAAGGTGGGTCTGCGTGAATCTGTCTGCCCATCTCTAATATTCCAAGGGAATTAAGGGCAAAGGGGGAAGTGGGTTCTGGTTATCATCATTTTTTGTTAATTACCCTTCCCTTAGGAGGGGGGAATTAATTCTATGTGGTGACCTCACACAGGATTCCATGGCAACCAACGAAATATATTGCATTAGGGCACATTACTATGCTATAGAGATAAGGGAGAGGGAGGAGACTTGGAAAAGCAGAGAAAACTCCTGCAGACAGACCAAAGCTCCTTGGGACCCAATTCTGCAGTCCCTTCTTAGGCAAAACTCCCTGTGACGGGAAGATCAGGCCCTTAGACACTGGGAATCACAGGAAACAGGGACTGAGACAAGTTGGGGAGCAGATCTCCTTGGGGAAGCAATGTCTCCTAGGGATTGGAGCACAGGCCTGGGAGTCAGGACCTGAGTTCTCATCCTGGCACTGGCTCACTGGGTGGCGTTGGGCAAGTCTCTTCCATCTCCCTTAGCTGCCCATCCAAGGAAGTTACTTTAATGAGTGAGGCCAAGAGGATCTGGGCCGTGCTTCAGCCTTATTGCTAGTTTCTGGGTTGGCTCTGTCCCAGGCATCTGGTCTGGCTCATAGATTCTAAGGGCAGAAGGGACCACTGTGATCATCCAGGCTGACCTCCTGTATGACACAGGCCACAGAACTTCCCCAGAATCATTCCTAGAGAAGAGCTTTTAGAAAACACATCTTGTTTTGATTTAAAAATTGCCAGTGATGGAGAATCCACCACGACCCTTGGTAAATTGTTCCAGTGGTTAATTACCCTCCCTGTTAACAATTTACACCTTATTTCCAGTCTGAATTTGTCTTGCTTCAACTTCCAGCCATTGGATAGTGTTAGACCTTCCTCTGTTAGACTGAGAAGCCCATTATTGAATATTTGCTCCCCATGTAGATACTTATAAACTGTGATCAAGTCACCCCTTTGCATTCTCTTAGTTATGCTAAATAGATTGAGCTCCTGGAGTCTATCACTAAAAGGCAGGTTTTCTAATTCTTTAATCATTGTCATGGCTCTCTCTGAACCTTCTCCACTTTATCAACATCCTCCTTGAATTGTGGGCACCAGAAATGGACACAGCCTTCCAGCAATGGGCACACCAGTGCCAAATAGGTAAAATAACTTCTCTGCTCCTACTTGAGATTCCTGTGCATCCCAGGGTGGCATTTGCTCTTTTGGTCACAGCATCATACTGGGAGCTCCTGTTCAGCTGATTATCCACCATCATCCCCAAATCTGTTTCTGAGTCACTGCTTCCCAGGGTAGAGTCCCCCATCCTGAAAGTACGGCCTGCGTTCTTTGGTCCTAGAGGTATACATTGACATTTGGCCATAATAAAACATATATTGCTTGTTTGCACCCAATTTACCAAGCGATCCAGATCACTCTGAATCAGTGACCTGTCCTCTTCATTATTTAACACTCCCCCAATTTTTGTGTCATCTGCAAAATTTATAAATAATGATTTTATGTTTTCTTCCAGGTCATCGATAAAGATGTTAAATAGCAAAGGGCCAAGAACCGACCCCTGCAGGACCCCACTGGAAACACATCTACTTGATGACGAGTCCCCATTTCCAGTTACAAGTTGAAACCTACCCATTACCCAGTTTTTAATCCATTTAATGTTATATTGTTCTACCTTTTTAATCCAAATGTTGTGCACTACCAAGTCATAGACCTTACAGAAATCTAAGCATATTACATCAACACTATTACCTTTATCAACCAAACTTGTAATCTCATCAAAAAAAGATATCAAGTTACTTTGACATGATCTGTTTTTCATAAACTCACGTTGATTTGCATTAATTATATTATCCTCCTTTAGTTCATTATTAATTGAGTCCCACATTAACCACTCCATTATCTTGCCCTGGATCGATGTCGGGCTGACAGAACTACTATTACCCGGGTCATCCCATCTACCCTTTTAAAAATTAGAACAAAATTAAATTTCTTTCAGTCTTCTGGAACTTCTCCAGTGCTGCAAGACTTACTGAAAATCAACATTAACTGTCCAATGAGTTCCTCAGCCAACTCTTTTTAAACTCTTGGATGCAAATTATCTGGATCTGCTAATTTTAAAATGTCTGTCTTCAGTAGCTTCTGTTTAACATCCTCCAGAGATACTAGTGGAATGGAAGGAGTGTTATCATCACATGATGAGACCACATTACCTGTTTTTCCCCAAACAGAACAGAAATATTTATTGAACACCCTTTCTGCACTATTATTGATCATTCTACCATTTAGTAATCATTTACCATCTAGTAATGGACCAATAACACTGTCAGGATTCTTTTTGTTCTCAACACTGCTGTCCATAGATTTTGCCTTGTGCCCCCTGGCTTCCCTTATCAATTTTCTACAATTCCTAACTTCTGATTTATATTAATTACTGTCAACTTCACTCTTCTTCCATTTGTTTATATATATATATATATATATATATATATATATATATATATATATATATATATAGCTGCTTTCAATTCCCCTCTAAACCAAACAAGTTGTTTTTTTTAACGAGCACAGCCTGCTTCCTAGGTTATGGGATTAATCCTATGGGCACAATTGTGGGCTTTTTGGGGCATCTAGTTTTGAAATGAGTCCCAATGATCATTCACATTCTTCTGGTTATATTCTTCCTTTTAGCTGATTTGACTCATAATTGTTTTCAGCTCTGTGAAATTGTCCCTATTAAAGCACCGGGTGTGTATATATATCTATAGATAGATTAGATTACCAGTCTGGACTTTATTCTGCTTGCACATGATAAATGTGATCAAGTCATGATCACTTGTAACTAAGCTACCATTAAAAAGAAAAGGAGGACTTGTGGCACCTTAGAGACTAACAAATTTATTTGAGCATAAGCTTTCGTGAGCTACAGCTCACTTCATCGGATGCATGCAGTGGAAAATACAGTGGGGAGATTTATATACACAGAGAACATGAAACAGTGGGTGTTACCATACACACTGTAACGAGAGTGATCAGGTAAGGTGAGCTATTACTAGCAGGAGAGCGGGTGGGGGGGACGGGGGATGGACCCTTTTGTAGTGATAATCAAGGTGGGCCATTTCCAGCAGTTGACAAGAAAGTGTGAGGAACAGTGGGGGGGAGGGGGAATAAACATGGGAGAAAAATAATAAAGACTGGGAGTGGATGGGTCATTACACAAAGTAAAACTATTTCCCCATGTTTATTCCTCCCCACCCCCGTTCCTCACGTTCTTGTCAACTGCTGGAAATGGCCCACCTTGATTATCACTACAAAAGGTCCCCCTTCCCCCCCCCCCCCCGCTCTCCTGCTGGTAATAGCTCACCTTACCTGATCACTCTCGTTATGGTGTGTATGGTAACGCCCATTGTTTCATGTTCTCTGTGTATATAAATCCTCCCACTGTATTTTCCACTGCATGCATCCGATGAAGTGAGCTGTAGCTCATGAAAGCTCATGCTCAAATAAATGTGTCAGTCTCTAAGGTGCCACAAGTCCTCCTGTTCTTTCTGCGGATACAGACTGACACGGCTGCTCCTCTGAAACCTGAGCTACCATTAACGTTTAGGTCTGTGATGAGCCCCTCTTTATCTGTCAGGACAAGGTCTAAGACAGAATTTCCCCCCATTAGCTGCAACACTTTTTGGTTGACTCTTTAGGATGAGACTGTCAGATGCCTAGGGGATTTGGATGCCCAATTCCCATTAATTTGGGGCACCCATATCCCTTAATTAGCAGCTTCACACAGCCAGGCACTTTTATCTGTATTGATTGTCTGTGGCAGCCGCTGTATCAATGGGCTAGACACAAACTAACAATCAGCTGCTGGGATGGGGTACCCAACCCTGCACCAAGCCGGCGAGGGTGACGAAGCTGCTGTGGCTGACTCAGCCCCTCCCCGCTACACCTGCACTCTCTGTCAGATAATGGAGGGCCAGATCAGTTGTTGGCTGACCCAGAGGAGAACAGACTGCCTATTCTTTGCTCCCTGAATAGGGATAGCCCAGGACTTTTGCAGACTGTCAGAGCCCTGCTGAAGGAGTAGGCCTAACCCAGGACTAGTGCATTTGTTTTGGGACTATTTTTTTGTTGGATAACTAGAAAAGGATGATTGACCCAGGCTGGGCTGCTTGTGATTCCCAGAGTCATAGAATTTAGGACAAAAGGCACTGCCTAAGGGGCTTGCTGAGACTGTTTTAGGGACCCCCCTGCCCAGGGCGCTTGTGGGGAAACTAGTAAAACGCTATGGACCTTTTGCACCCGAGCCGAGCCTGCCCTATGCCGCCATAATTGTCAAAGAATCAGAATAGAAAGCAAAAAGTTGATGCCAGAAATCCAGCACCTGAGCTGTCTCTTCCTCTGCTGTCAGCCCCAAATCCAGCTGTGCAGACTTGAATCCCAGAGCAGGGTCTAGCAGGCTCATTTGCACCTTGCTAATCTGCTCCCCTATAACTCGCACACCCAAAACCCAGCAGCCCCGCCTCATTGCTCAGCACAGCAGTGACGGTCCAGTAGGGTGTCTCCTTAGCTGGAAAGTTTATTACTTTTGCAAACCGTACTGCAGGATACGTACTGGCAGAGCATCCAAGAGGAGCATCAGTAGTTCACACCAGGCTAAGGCAAATAAGCCAAGGCCAGTCTGTGAGGCTCGCTCCTTGCTTTCACCATGTTTGCATGCTCACCTGCTAATTTGCTACCAATAGGTCTCAAGTCAATCATTTGCAAATGGGCCATCATCACTTTAGCTGATTTTGTACATCTCCCTTTTCGGGGGGGCCCAACCTGAGGCACCCCAAAACTGAGGCTCCCAAAAATCAGAGGCCCGCTTTGAAAATGTGGCTGCATGGGCTGAGTCCATGTCAGACAGGCACCTGTGACCTCTGAAGCCCTGTAATATGAACACTGTTCAGACCAGCTCGCCGAAGGGACCTGTCGTGCCTCAAAAACGAGAGATCTGTAATAGGACTTCCATTGGGACTTAGACTGAGTTCTGTCCCTTTAAAGAACCATTTCAGCTAGAGAAGTTTCAGACGCTCCCTAAATGAACCTCTCCCTTTTCTCTTCTCTCCCTTTCTTTTTATATTCTCTGCACATCCCCGGAGTATCCCACCATCCTCCACGGCAGAGCCAGCTCCTTGCTGCCGTGGCAACAGCCATCCCAGTATCGGTCAATAAAATAACAACCCAGAGAGATCTGGAGCATTTGTAAGACCAATTTGCAAAGGGATTTTTTTTTTGGGGGGGGGTCTGATTATTCCTCTAAGAAATGAGGTAACTAGATTTCCCTCCCTCTCCCCCCTCCAACCTCTCACTGTATCCCTGGCAGCACAGAGCCTGCAAAATACAATGAGCTGGAATAAATGTCTGTGAATGGTTCATTGAAGAATGACTTTGTAAACGTGGAATCAACCATCAGATTGGAAGGGGCCGAAGATGCCAAGCAAATATTGCACACAGTGGCTTCTGCATGGAGGAGATTAATTCAGCAGTGATTTTCTCCTAGTGACCCTCAACCCGGATATAATGCTGTACGGGGAGCCCATTGGCTGTGTCTTGCTTGCAACATTAAATTCTCTGCTCTCTCTCTGCATCCTTCTAGCAATGGGTCATTCCTGGAGCTCAAAGAAAAACTGAAAGGAGGGGAAGACAGAGGAGAAACCGAGCGGTGCCCAGCGCTTGAGCATGTATAATAGATTGTTGGAATCCAATCAAGTCATTAGAGGAGGAAAGAGACAATGTTGCTGTATTCTTCTTTCCATTTAACAGCAAAGGGGCTGGCAAGGGGAGTTTAATCTTGGCTGCAGCAGGATGTGACTTGCTAAGGGGCTTTATCATCTCCCAACAAAGCACTGGGATCAGCATAGCCAATGGGATTTAGGCACTGAACTTGCTTAGAGGCTTTTGAAAATCTTTGCCTCTCCAGGCATCTGGATCCCTTTGGAAATGAGTCATTTAGGCACTTCTGAAAATTTGACCCTAAATCTCCTTATTTTGTGGAGGGCCAGAGTGCGGGAGGTGGTGGGTATGAGGTGGGGAGGCTGACGGGACATGGAGATGGTTGGGGATGGCCTACAGGACATCATCACTGGTCTCGCCTGCACTGATTGCCTTTTGAAGATTGTTAAACGGAGCCGCTCGGAAGGGGTGGGAAACGCTGAGTTGTCCAAACTGAACCTTTTCACAGAAATGTCTCCAATTCGATGAAAGTTTCCTCAGATCCAGGATGGAATTTCTGGTCAAAGCCAGAGAGAGACAGACCCACCCCAGTATAGCCAAAAGCCCAGCGGTGAGAGCACTCACCAAGACCCAGGTTCAAATCCTGGCGGTGCCAGGTTCAGAGTACAATCGAACCTGGGTCTCCCACGTGAGTGCCCTAACCACTAGGCTAGAGCATCAGTGTCTCCGTAAGCCACTGAATAGATTTAATTATTTATAGCAAGTAGAACACCTTCAAAAGCTGAGTGGTTAGATAATTTGGCTGACCCATGTGCAAGCCCCTACTCTGAGTCAGGCAAAGCAGGGGTATAGGTCTCCCATATCCCAGTTGAGCACCCTCACCACTTGGCCATGCTGGAATGGGTTTGTAACCTCCCCCCCCGCTCCCATGCAATGGCCCAGCAACTGTGCTAAATCAGAGCAAGGAGAAGTTTACCTGTGGGGAGAGCTTGTGATGGGAAAGAAACGGCCCCACATCACCCCAGCAAGATAAATCCCCTCCCCCAGCAGGAGCCCCAGGATCTGCGGGGTCTATTTTTCACTCTAAGCACCACAGCTGAGTGCGGTTCTAATGGACATTGCCGAATCCC